GGGTTTAGGGGTTTAGGGCGCAGGGTCTTCAGTGATTCAGATCCTGCGTTTCCAACACTCTCATAGTACACTTACCCTAAACCCTAAACCCTAAACCCTAAACCCCCTAAACCCCCTAAACCCTAAACTCTAAGGGCAAGTGCTGCGAATTGTTCAGGCGTCCATACCTTTTTGCAGTTCCCGGGCTCTCTTCAGAAAGCCCCTTGTCTCAATGCCCTTCCCAAACTCCAAAACCTGAACCATAACGAAGGTTTGGCCGAGGGTTGCGGAGGATCTGCATTTTTTGAAGGGCGGTGAAGCATCTCCTGGGATACTATTTCAACGATTTCCTGCTACACTTCCTCCGGCAAGCTCTCATCGATGCCTGGCTCGCCCTCTGCCGCTATGGGCAAAGGATTTCCAGAGTATGCCCTCCTACGCAGATCCGTCACGGCTACGGCCGGAAGCAAATACATTTACAATGCCGCCAGCGCCTGAAGCATGCGACCGACAAGTGTGAGCATTGAGCGCCGTAGATTCGAAAGCAGACATGGCAATGGCGGGGACACTTCAGTTCCCGCAGACTCCAAGGACCAGGCGCGCCACAAATGAGTTGCTCACGTGAAATCCGCAAGCCACCACTTCAAAGCATCACTCACTTTGCGTCGAAGTCCATAAAAAATACTACGCACTTCGGATCTAAGGCATAATACCCACTTTGAGTCTACAGCGTAATTAAAAAAGGTACCTGCTTTGGGCTATTTGGAGTCTCAGGACACTTCGTCAGTATGCCCCGAGAGTCCTAAACCCTAAACCCTAAACCCTAAACCCTAAACCCTAAACCCCAAACCCTAAACCCTAAACCCCAAACCGCAAACCCTAAGCCCTAAACCATGCAAGGCCTTGAGGTCTTCGTCCACCTCTTCAACCAGCTCAAACCTCGGCAGAAAGGTTTAATGCAGGGGCCGAAATAACTACCAATACTATTGTGGGGCTCCATATTATGATTATAGCATGGTGCTTGCCGCAAAAGTTTGAAAAGCGTCTGATAGGCTCATTGAAATATAAAATTGGAACATGGATTTAGGATGATTGGTGCTGGGATGCCCCTATATACTTTACCTTAAGCACTTGACGTTTTTGATGTTCCAACTTTCTGGCTTCTACTTTAGCCGTACATCCTACCCTAGACCCTCAACCCTAAACCCGAAACCCTAGACCCTAAACCCTAGACGCCCTAGACCCTAAACAAGCCGACACCCCTGTTTATGTGGTTACCCATAGGCCCCATACTAGTTCCTTTTTGTGGCTTATATTTAGGATCCTATTAGGGAATCCCAAAAAGGAACTACTATGGGGCCTATGAGTACTTCAAGGAGGGTTTAGGGTTTAGGATGTAGGCTTTGGGGGCTTGAATCAAACATTGGCATAGGGGCTCTTAGGGCACGTTCTAGCATGATTCTAATGGGGAGCTGGAAGGAAGAAATACGGATCATTTCTTCCTGAGCCCTTTAAACACCATAGCACCCTAGGCTAATCGAGGTACTCATTCAAGCTTCTCTATGAGCGCGGGGGCTTAGCGATTAGGACTTAAGTTCTAGGACTTCTATGGATAACAAAAGCATATTCTGGCTGTGTCTCGCAAAGCCTCTCTGATTCCGGTTTCGGGCTTAGGGCTGCAAGTGTTGCATTTTGACGTCGAGGGGCTTCTGCATTTCTGTCAACTTTGCTTGATGGCTCAATCGCGCTATAGGGACTGTTTTGGAACTTGGGTTCCGAAACAACACAGACACTGTCACCATCAGCATCAGCACAACCGCCATGATCATCATCACCACAATCAACATCAGCATTAGCATCCGCCTGGCCATCGTCGCCATCATTTTCAGCAGCATTTCAATCTGTCGAAATCATGATTAGGCCCGATACTGAGAACAAAAAGCATGAGATGCCATGGGGATGCACGTGGCGAAACCGTTTCAATGTAAGACAGTACGATGCGAAGTAAACTTGGTCTTGCTCGAGATGTGTATAACCGACGAGTGAGTACTCCTGGCACGCATCGCAGTTGCAATGGTAAGAGCAGCTGAGCAGAAAGGGCAGGACCAACACATTGCAAAGATAAACCAGCGTTAGTCGCGATCACAGTTAAAAGTGGAAACATGGGCTGAAGGCTTCCGCAAATTTCAGAGTGTTTAGGGTTTAGGATTTAGGGTTTAGGGTTAAGGGTTTATAGGGTTTAGGGTTGAGAGTTGAGGGTTGAGGGTTAAGGGTTTAGGGTTCAGGGTTTAGGAGGATCAAGCGGCTTTGCTTTTGAGAGATAGAGTCCCTAAGGGTCCATGTACCCAAATAGTAGAACATTGGCCCTAAAGTACCCATATAGGGACTACATTAAGGCCAATGTTCTACTATTTGGGTACATGGACCCCGTTTAGGGTTGAGGGTTCAGGGTTTAGGGTTTAGGGTTCGGGGTTTAGGGTTTAGGAGGATCAAGCGGCTTTGCTTTAGAGAGATCGAATGCAGCCCAAATGCTGCGACCTCTCAAGCTGCCAGCCGTCGACGTCGACCGCCTGCGCAAGGAGGACAGGGCTGGGAGATAGGGTCGGGCTGAGGGTGGTAAGTTTGGGGTCCAAGGCCCAAACACCGTTTTCAGCAAAAAGCTCACACCCGAACCCTAAACCCAAACCCCTAAACCCTAAACCCTAAACCCTAAACCCTAAACCCCTAAACCCTAAACCCTAAACCCTAAACCCTAAACTTCACCACGAGAGACGATGAGCCTCGAGCAAGGCCGGCACTCCGTCGACCTTGGCTCGTAGAGCTTCGTAGCCTTGGCGAGGATTAGGGTTTAGGGTTTAGGGTTTAGGGACTTCGAATTCCGAGCAAGGGGCTTTTGTTTTGGGAATTAGGGGTTTAGGGTTTTTGTTTTGGGGGTTATTTCTTGGGATTTAGGGTTTAGGGTTTTTGTTTTGGGGTTTATTGTTTTGAGGTTGAGGCTTGAGGGTTTAGGGTGCTTGTTTTGGGATTTATTGTTTTGAGGTTGAGGCTTTAGGCGGTTTTTGAGGAGGGCTTGGGGATTGCAGGATGTCAGGTTCTAGTCTTGTACGCTGGGCGTAAAGGCTTAGGGTCTTAGGGTTCAGGGGCTTCGAGGTCTAGCTGCTGTAGCTAGTGTCTACTTCGCCTGATGTCTTCATACCGGATTAAAAAGTTTAAGGTTTCTGGTTTAGGGTTTAAGGTTTAGGGTTTAGGGTTCATAGCTTAGGGTTCAGGGCTTAGGGTTTAGCAGATCTAACGTTCCGTAGTTGTCTTGAACTCGAAAACGTAACGTTGCCGTATCGCTTATCCTCCGCTACACAAGGCCATAGGATATCGGGCTCCGGGCTGTAAGGGCGCTTAGCCTTAACACGGCTGATGATAAAACACATCCTGCATTATCTCAAGGACCCTGAACTATGGGAATGTTGGTGCATTCCTTATTATGGGTCAGGCAGGAATTATATCATCAACCGTTCTATCCCTTAAAGGGTACTATAAGGCTCGTCATGGGGCTTGTTATAAGGGTACTATAGGGCTCTATAATCGGGTTTCCTGATAGAAGCCCTTTACAGGAATTACCAATCATCAAGCTTTCAGAGTCATTCCGACATTCCATTATTAGAGTCTGCGGGGCTTTGTGCAGGCTGAAAGTTCACGACCTGGACTTTGGGGTGCCGGGCGCAAGCTCACCCCGCAGTCCCCCACATAAGGGTCAACATCACATCAGACTACTGCAAACCCTCAGCCTGTGTTTTGTCCAATATGAAACCCTAAACTCAGCATAACGATCCAAGCCCAAAATCACTCCAAGCTTGTAGCCTATAGAAACCTACAGACTCCAAACTAATTCACGGACACTTCATAGCTCCAAAATCCTCCACCCTGAACCCGACGTCCAAAAATGTACCCGGCTATTGAAGGACTTGCCATGTCGGACAGGCCGCTGTCGTCGACACGGCGGCGTGCCTTCCGGAACGTTTATTTTATTGCGTTTGGCATTTAAACGGGCTGCATTAAAAGACCCCTACACCCCAAACCCTAAACATAGATTTCGTTGGGCTCTTTGCAAGGACTTGATAAGGCAGTTGTTCACACAAGACTCCGCAGCAGGCTCCCTTCTTGGAGAAGAGGGTCCCTCATGTGAACGGACCGTGAGATCCCGAGGGTCGGTTTTTGCCTTCTATCTTTGGATCCCAGAACCCAAGATACCTACCTAAAATTATAAATATCTGAGGCCGGACCACCTAATTATTGGGTGTTCTGAACCCTTCGGACTGATTGACATGAGTGATATGAGAGTGATATGAAATGAGAAAGAAACACCATAGAGGCAAAGTAATTCGGCGACGACAACACCGGCTTCCGAGCTACACCTGCTGCGGATGATGCAGCGCTTCGTCCATCAGCAGCATATTCAGTTGCAGGAAACATTTTTGAACAACAGCAGGTGGCAGCGACCACAATGCAAACAAATCCAAGCAAACACAGAACCGCACACCCTAATTACGCGGGAACCCGCCAACACACGCCACAATATAATTATACACTCACGAGAACTTGCAAAGCAGCCATATGGAGCCTGACTAGAACCCGTAGAGGAGCCTTGAAGGACCTAGACCCCAAAACCCAAACACGAATACAAGATGTATCCACGCACTTACATATCTATATATCTATATATATATATATATATACAAACACAAACCGAACTCTCTCTGTATGAAAACTGTATGTATGTATGTCTATGTAAGTATATATATATATGTATATATATATATATATGAACGTGTGTGTATACATACATACATACATACATACATACATACATACATAGATACATACATACATACATACATACATACATACATACATACATACATAAACACACATGTGTGTATACATATATATATATGTGTGTTTTTGCATGTAAACATGTGTGTATGTGTATATTATCTATACAGATGTATGAACGAATGTCTACATATATAGCTACGAGATGCTACGAGCCGAAATCGAAAAGTTCGAGGCCTCGACAACCTCGTCGTCGAAGCTTCGTGGCTGAACGGCGACGAAGTCGGGCAAAGAAATGACCTCTGCCTGGCCGGCATTCGGGGGTGTTAGGGTGTTGGGATGGGGCAGGGCAAATAGCTAGGCTTTGACCTTAAAGGTTTAGAAGGGGTCGTTTAGGATCTGGAGCCATGACCATGGCTGGGTTACTGCTGATCGACACATTCTCGCTTACCTCCAGTACCCATAACTGTCAGAAATATAGTTGCGTAGCGCTTGTCAACCACATGTCGGGTGGAGCGTGGTTGCGATAGGAATGCGCGCTGGGTTAAAGAGCCTTTTCTTAAGGGCTTCGGGGAGATGTCCGCTTTAAAGCATCGCAGAAGCGGCATGAAGTGTCTTGAAACTGTGGTATAACCTTAAGGCATGCAACCGCCAAACGATGATACACATGTTTCCAACGCCGAAGAGCCGGTTGCACACCGAGATCTTCGGGCATCTGGTTAGTTTATATTGGTTTAATAAGGCTCATAGAGGGATTAGGTTTTAGCAGTCTGGTGATTCATACAGAGGCCTTATTCATGACTTGAACAAGGATTTGGGGCGTATTGTAGTATAACTTCAACAAGGAGCCCTACGGGAGAACATTGGCAACTGTTCCGACTTCCATGGGTAAATCTCTGAATTAAGTCCCTTCTAGGGTCATTTTTAATAAGGGTGCTGTAATATTCGTGGGACCTAAAAAGGCACTCTGATTTAGAGAACTATATAGGGTTTAGGGTTTAGGGGTTTAGGGTTTAGGATTTAGGGTCCCCTACATTCATGCCCTGCCTCGTCTAGGGAAGCTGCGGCAATGTCCTGCGACAGTTCAGTATTGCCCATGGAGGATTGCAGACTGGGGTTTTAGCATCTCGCATGTATGGCAAACCTGCATAGATCCCAAATCTCTGAGCCCTAAACTGTGCATGTAGACACCCGGCATCCCAAAATTTAGAAACCCTCGGAATATGGATGATCCGGGTTTGGTGCGTCGCACTTGTGGGTCCATAAAAACCTTATAATATAAAAGCCTAGAGTGACCCTATCAACCTCTCATAAAACTGAACACCCCTGAGACAAGAAGACGAAGAAGGCCCTACAGAACCCCTGAAGTTCAGGCCATGAAGTTCAGGCCCTGAAGAACGCTAGAAGAAAGCTGTCTTCGGGGATCCTAAATATAAGCCACAAAAAGGAACTACCATGGGGCCTATGGGTAGGGGCTTGAGAAAGTGAAGAGTTCTACCCGAATGCTAGACCCCAAGCGCAAGCCCCTTGAACCCTGAAGCCCTCAACCCGAACAGAACTCTCCTGGATCCCCCAAGAGAGCCCGAAAACCCGAATGAAACCTCAGCGTCCTCGTCGTCCTCCACCTTTTCGAAATACAGAGGTCTGGGACCGAATCGGGGTTTGGACTGCATCTCCTGCACAAGCAAGGGCTGCAATAGTTTATAATTGCTTCGCGTTTACGGGTTTAGGGGTTTAGGCTTCCGTTTTCCGCATGGTTCCTGATCGTTTACCCAGAGGGTCCAAATGTATTGCTATTATGGAAATCAACCCCTAAAGCCCATCCTCATCATGGTTTTCACACGACCTATTCCTCTTGAAGGCGTTCCAGAACCATGAGAAGAATGAGGATGGTCTTTTGGGGCCTACTTCCATAATG